CCCCCCCCTTCCCCTCGCCACACTCACACTCACTCTCTCTCTCACTCTCTCTCACTCTCTCTGTATGTCTTTTGAGTATTTTATGCAGTGGGCGGCATTTGGGGATTGGGTCTGGGATTGGGATTGGGATTGGGATTGAGATTGGGACTGGGACTGGGACTGGGATTGGGGCCGTGTTGGGGCGTATTTGCTTGTCGGCCCTTTGCATGAACTGCCAAGATCAGCACAAAATTTTTGCAAATTTTATTTTATAGCATTTTCACAAGTGGAAAGTCATGTCTATGCCTATCTCGCTCGCTCGCTCACTCACATTCGCTGTCACCGTCTAGCTGTCCCTGTCAGTAAGTGTGTGTGCGTGTGTGTGTGTGTTTTGGCCATTCGGGCTAAGCAAATAGCTTCGTTTGTTGTTTTGCTCTATCAATATTTGACTTTCGGCTTGTTTTTTGTGGGTGAACCTACGAAATTACCGAGCAACAATAACAACAACAACAATGACAACAACAGCAGCAACAGAAGACAAAAATTACAACAAAAAAACGAAAAATAAAAAGCGCAAACGCCAGCACTTGACAGTCCCTGGGAAGTCGAACAACTGCAAAACTCTGTCCCAGCCAAGGCAGCTCACACACACACACACACGCACACAGCTTAAATTGAGGTAAGTGTGTGTGTGTGTGAGTGAGCGCCTTGACAATGCCAATTGAAAGATATTCTTCTCACATGAGCACACAAATGACAGATGAGCATCTCCGATAAGCCACACGCACACATACACACACACACACACACACTGTAAGTCTAACAGGATTCGTCGAAATTGTTCAGCGTTCAAACTTTTACAGCTATGGAATTTGCAACATTTTACCTTGATATTCACATCTACAGATGAAAATCTATGCATTTGTATATATATATATGCATGTACATACTTTCCCACATCTAAATCTGAAAATCGCATCTCGTATGATTGGCAACATTTTCTCAATTCTCAATGCTTTTTAATTGTTCAGCTTTGGAGTTTCTCTTGATAGATTCAGATTAAAGATTCTGAATCATATTTTAGTAGCTGTTACTAAAGAATTATTGAGACACAATTTTCTTCTTATTGTTGGAAGGTTTTTGTTTGATTTTTGTTTACTTTCTTATCTTATGGTTTAATTATGTTTCTCTCTACGTTTCCTCCAACACTTCCAACAAATCTGAATCTTTAGTTTCACATTTCTATAAGCTATGCTTTGCAGGTCCTCTAACTATTGTTCTTCCTATGCTCTCCATTCAGCTAGTCTCAATATATATTTTTCATAGCTCGCTTTCTTTCTCCTTTTATTCCATGCTCTGCTCTATTTTAGAATTCTCGTGATAGTTATTGCCGGACTACGCCAGCCAGCCTCTTCAATATAATCTTTATGGCTCTAATGCTGTTACTCGTTAAGTTCCTTCATGCTTAGCTTTCTGCTAATCTTACTGTTTCGCTTCTCACTATGTTTTGCTCATTTATGCTTCACACTATGTTTTTCACTATTAATAATATACTATAGTACTTCACTTAAAGCTTTTCTCTATGCTTCTCACTGAACTTTATATAAGTTTTCACTATGTTTTGCCCTTTGCTTTTCAAGCTATAATTATTTGTCGTTCTGCTTCTCCCTGCGCTTCTCGCATATCGCTGTTTTTACCCTTAAGAGTATATCGTTATGATCCCACTTCTCACTATGATAGGCTTTAAAGCATGCTTCTCACTGAAGTTCTCGCTAAGCTTCGCTCTAATGCTTCCAGTCTTTCCTTTCACATGTCCTTCTTTCTATTTTTCTTACATTGTTTCCAATATGCATTCAGCTAAGTTGCTCGCAATGCTTCTCTTTGCGCTTCTCACTCAATGGGCTTTAACTACTACGCAGTTCACAAGATCGCTCAACTAGCACTTTCTCTCTCTACTCTCGCTCTCGCTCTACTCTCTCTCTCTCTCTTTCTCCCTTTCTCTCTCTACTCTCGCCTTACTCTCTCTCTTTCTCTCTTTTTTTCTCTCTCTCTCTCTCTCTCTCTCTCTTGGACTTTCTCTCTCTCCCTGTCTACTCTCGCTCTACTCTTTCTCTCTATCTCTCTTTCTCTATCTCTCTCTTTCTCTCTCTTTCTCTCTCTACTCTCGCACTACTCTTTCTCTGTCTCTCTCTCTACTCTCGGTCTGCTCTCTTCCTCTCTCTCTACTCTTTTTCTCTATCTCTCTCTTTCTCTTTCTGTCTCTACTCTACTCTACTACTTTTTCTCTCTCTCTCTCTACTCTCGGTCTACTCTCTTTCTCTCTCTCTACTCTCTTTCTCTCTCTCTTTCTCTACTCTCCGTCTCTCTCTCTCTCTCTCTTTCTCTACTCTCCCTCTCTCTCTCTCTCTCTCTCTCTTTAAATTTCTCTCCTCATATTGCTGCACACTTCTCCTGCTTCCCGCTTCCACGCTTCTCACTTTGCAATGCATTTTATTGTTTGGACTTTTGCATTTGGTTAATTAAACTGGCATATTGAGGCTCAGGAGTTCATGCGGTCAGCTCATCGATCCATTGTGGTTTGCAGTCTGGCTGCTGTGGCCGTGTCAAAAGGTGCATGGGCCGTGAACCCTATTGCGGCGCTATCTAAAATCAAGTGCACGAAGTTCACTTGATGTTCTCGCCACTGAAGTAAAGCAAATTTCCGTTTGGTGGAACATAAAATTTATGGCCCACGGCCAGGGCGTAATGGCACAATGCAGCCCAGCTCATCGCCCAGCCACACATGGCGCCGTCTCTCTCTCACTCGCTCTCTCACTTTTGCTCTCTTCTTTGCTGGCTGTTACTCTGTCATGGATGGTGCTAAGCACTGGTCTGGTCTGGTCTGGTCTGGTCTGGTGGGCACTTACCAATTGTGGTCAAAACGGTCAGCGAATACAAAAACGCTTTGGCGAAATTCCATTCATGCGGTGGTCCACCCACGCCGCCACCGCCGCCGCCGCCACCAAGGCGATGATGATGAAAGTGTGTGTGAAGGAGCACAGCTTCTGTGGCTGGATTGTTGGCCGAACCAGCTGAGCCACCGCCACTCCCGGCAGCAGCACCACCAGCCGAATGTCCGGCAGCCACATCGTCGTGTGATAATTGCAGCATAACATCCTCGTTCAGTCTCTTGATTAATTGGTCTTGAAACTTGGCAATTTCAAGTGCGGCTAATCTGTGAGTGAGAGAAAGAGAAAGAGAGAGAGAGAGTGAGACAGAAATGAAGAGAGTGTACATGTATGAGTGTATGTGTAGCAATAAGCAAGTAGTGTGAAACAGGAATAGTGAGTGTGTGAGTGTGTGTGGTGTAAGGTGCTGCTTACTTTGTCCAGTTCTCCTTGTAGAGTATGTTGAGAGACACGGTTATGTCCCAGATATTCTCAATGGTGCGCTGCCGTACATCATAAGTATCCGGCGATAAGGCAAACTGCGTCTGCCCCCCATCCATGTCGTTGTCATCCAATCCATAAACAAAGTCATTCGATGCCTGACCATACGCGCCACGCTCGACGCCATGGCTCAGATCCTGTCCCTGTCCCTGTCCCAGGGCAACTGCAGCGGCCACCGTGTCATTGTCCGAGTGTATTCCAGGCTGCTGCTGTTGTTGTTGTTGTTGTTGCTGTTGCTGTGTCGTCTGCGGCGACCTTTGCTGCTGATAGATGCCGTTGCCATTCCCATTGGTGTTGCTGTTGCGCTTGGTGGATGCCAGCGTATGCTGTTGATGCAGCAGCGCCGAGTCCTCGTTCTCGATGGTTAGGAATATAAAGGAGCCTGCAAACAAGACCAGCAAACGGCATTAGACTCATGAGACTGCACACACACACACACACAGACAGCAGAGTGTTAGCCTCCGAAATAAGCAACGGCAACTCATTTGTATTGTCTGCATTGTCCGGATTGCTTGGATGCAGTTGGGGCTCGTCGACTCTGGCCAAACCGGCCACGAGTCGTGCCCGGGCCCATCATCAGCTCTTAAATAGCCCAATTTTATGGACCAGCCAGTCTCACTGCGATTGTTGCGAGTGTTGCTTAAATTTCAGCCCACTCAACTGCCCACAATCTCTGTCAATTGCAATTGACCAAAATTTACCAAGAATTCGACCCAAATTCAATTCTCTGGCTAAGCCCACACAATAATTTCGTAAGARTTTATTTCACTCATCACAGAATGTAGCTTTTAAATAGTTATTATTACAGTTATAAATTGTTGCAATACTAGGTTTTTGATATGGATATTTTACTTTGACTGAGCAAATAATTTGTTTTTTTTTTTCCTTTCATTACTATTATTTTTTCAATCAATATGCATTTTCGTAAAATATTTATTCATAGAAAATAAGGATGACTTTTGCCATATTAATATTTGCTGCTGTGATATTGCTTCATCCTTGTTTTAATTTGCATAAATATTAAAAACGAATACTTCTTCAATTTAAATTGCAATTGACTATTGCTGGCTGCTCGGTTGAATATACATTTTTTGCTTTTCACTTGCCTCGCTTATTGTTGTCAGTCTTGGTAACTGATAATAGATACGTTAAGTTCAGTTCGGCTTCTCCAATTTATTAGTCTTACTTAGACGACTTTTTAAGTTATTCGTTTATGTATCTAATCCTTACTTTTCTTGGGTCTATGTGTTTTCTCTCTCTTCACTTCCCCTAATGCTTATTACTATTCACTTAGCTTCTTACTTCTGCATTATCTTCCTGCTGAGCTCTTTCTATTTTTCCCTCTATTTCATCTGTTTCTGTCTCCTACAGTTCCTCTGTTTCCCATTCTCTCTGTTTCACTTCACCTCTCTCTCTCTCCCCCTCTCAGTTTCCCAACCTTTTCTCTCTCCATCTCACTCTCACCATCTTTTTCCCTCTCTCTTTCTCTGTCCTTCTCCTTAACTTCTTGTATATACTCATCCCTAACTGTGCCCCTCCCTCTATTTATACCTCTCTCTCCCTCTTATACTAATTCAGTATCCATATTGCTCTCTCTCTGTCTCTCTCGCTCTCACTCCTTATATCTCATATAGCTACAGCTATCAAATGGACTTCCAGCCTGACATCAAAATCTTTCAAATTAAGTTGAATTCATCAAAACATTGACATTTTTAAGATATTTACCCCCTCGTCGGGTTAGGCCCCCAGGAATTCGGGTCCATTAAATCAAGGGGAAAACAAAGGGCAACGGGTCGCAGCTTCTACAGCTAGTTGACATGACGAATAGTCAGTGGCCAGTGCACAGTGTAAAGCTCAACATTTGCTGCATAAATTCCGAGGCTAAAGCCTTGTCACTCACATAATGTCTATGCTGATCAACCAATGCTCACAGACACACACATGCACACTCTCGCCTGGGCAAACATGTGTTGCTGGAGCGGCATTTGTCAAGTTTGTGAAAAAGTTTTTCAGCTACACTCGCCGCCCGCCGAAACTTTAACAGAATTTTTCTTCTCCATTTTTTTTTTTTTTTTGGGCTCTGCAAATGATATTATGAGGGGTATGATGAGTCGATGTCGTCGACAAAAGCCAACACATGTCAAAGTTAAAAATAATACATGAGCCTGTGTGGCAGCAGGACTGTGAATTGGCGGCTGGACAGGGAGAAGCGACAGCAGCAGCAGAGAGCAGCAGCAGCAGCAACACAAAAGAAGCAATTGTTGTTGCTGTTGTGCTTGGCCAACTTGAAACTTTTGTTGAAGCGTTAAAATGCACGCAAAATGGAGTACATACTAGCACATATGCATAAACACGCACACCCACACACACACACACATGCACACATGCACACACACACACACTGGAGGCTGTCAAACGGGTGTGTGCTGACGTCACAAACTCACGCACCGGAGCCTAGAGAAAGTTAAATAATTGTTTGTGTCATTTGATGATTTCCTTTAACAAGGCAACACGGCTAACTTTTTGCGCAGCTGTCACATACAGCCGTACACACATGTTCACACACACGCACGCACGCTAGTTGGAGATGAGCTACAGCGCGACTTTGAACAACGTCTTTCTCTATGAATATAAAAAGGAGTGTAAGGAGCAAAACCCTAAAGCATTTTTGGCAATATTTCCATTAGGCTTAAATTTTGAAAATTATTTTATATTTTTACACAATTTTATTAGTTTATTTTTTTTAAATTATTTTTTTTTTATTTTA